ATTCTCATTCATTCTCTCTCTCTCTAGAGAAATTATCTGGTTTCTGAAATGGTAGAGAATTGACAATTCTCAAAATTAAGATTCTCATTAATTGTATGATGACTCTTACTTGCTTTGGCCAAGTTACACAGAAGAAAATGCTTCCTAAACAATCTATGTGTGATTGTTTTCCACTAATTCAGTGTTTAATAAGTGGATTATGATAAATCAAAACTTTATATGGATTTAATCACTTATTCCTCACAACAATCTCATAAATAGATTACCATCACCACCATTATGATTTCTGTTTAACAGATGAGGGAACTTAGCTTTAGAGAGGTTGTGTATTTTGCCAATCAAGTACAAGAGACAGGGCTCACATGTGATAATGTGGTTTCAGAGCCAATCACTTTAACCCCTAAGTTTTATAGCCACTCCTAGTTATCAGTATCAGAAAAGACAGAAACTGTTTCATCCATAAAGAGGTGGGATATTAACCTCACAGCACAGGTTAATTATTCTAAAATGTTTATAATGTTCCCTGGTGTGAGGTTCTTTGTAAGTATAAAATGCTCTAACCAGTTTGAGGTGATCCTTCTGAATGCAAGGATCAGCCAAACACTCTGTACCTTGTCTCAGGTTACAAAGTTCCACAAGAGCAAGTCAGACTCTACAGTAACAATACAAAGCTCCACCTGGAAGAAATTAACAGACCATCTGTTCTGTTTCAGCAAAGCCGATAGCTAAAATGATGGCTTTGCAACAATGCCATAATATTACAGCAGCCAGGAACTAAATGTACAGGACTTTCACTTTTAATGGAATATAGAAGAGGAATGTAAATAACTGCCTACTTCTAAAGAAATAAGACTTCCAATTGTGTTAGCAACCTCCAAGTGGAGGTTTTTCCAAGTTCTTGGTTACCCTCAGGAAAAGAATTTCAGGACGCACCACATAAGCCAAGCAAGTGACAGTTTTCTACTGAGAGTAATAGTATGCTTTCAGGAGAGAGAGTGGACAGGCTTGAAAGAGAACAGCCACACTGGGAAAAAGTGGTTTTAGATCTTTTGTAGTTTTACAAAGTGAGGGGAGGAATATTCAAACCAAGGGGTTGGCTTTTACTAAGAATTTGGATAGTAATTCCTAGAATTGGGCTCCCTCCCATTTTCATATTTTATGATTGGGAACTGTCATGTTGATTTCAAGGATGGAGAAATTTTAAAACTACAATATAAATAATATTGTAATTAGCCCAAGTTCATGTAAGGCGACAGAGATGGCTGACAAGCCAATCAAAACCCAGTTCTTGCCTGCAGTCATTAGCCCCTCTAGTTAGCTTCTGCTTAAAGGTTGTTTATTTTAACAGCTGCACCCAATCTTCAAGCCCCTGCACCCAGTCTGAACTGTCTCTCAGTCTCCTACTCTAACAAGTGTTAGAAGAAATTCACCAGCAGAGAAGCCATTCTTGGCCTCAGATTTGATGTTAATGCATGAGTTACAATACAAACATCTCATGACATTGGCTAATCATGAGCACTATCACTTTATAAAGCAAACAAACAAAAATAAAGTAATCAAAGGATTTGTCAACCGGAACCATACCATTTTAACCTAAGTTCCCTAGTGTTTTAAAAAGGCACATCTCAAATCATGGTTGGGATATAGCAAAGTTATAACATGTAACCAAACTGTTTGTACCCTGATAATTTCCTGAAATAAAAAAATCAAAAAAAAAAGAATGTTGTTAAATATCAGTAATTTGAAAAAGTAACCTTGATGCTTTGGTATACTGTGCTCCTTTTCAGATATTGACTTTACAGCAAATAAAAATTGGTATAACCACTTTGATATTTAGAAATAACCTTCTCCACCTTTTGTTTTTAAAAATTAATTGAGAATAGCAATAATACCTTTATTTGACTAGAGTAAAAACATGAAAACCATAGCTTTTGCCAAATATCACACAGTACAATCATTGAAAAATTGCCATTGGAGCCAAACTTCTAGAAATTTTCTCTTAAAGACACTCTTGAGATTATGTATAAAGAGTAAATTAAAAATAACATGCTAGCAAAATTTTTTATCTTACTATATTTGAGATGTCTATCACAAACCAGCTGCAATATATACAACTAGATAATGAAGCTATATAAAATTTATTATTCAAAACAAAATTAAAATAGAATTGAACGGAGCCTATAAATCAAAATTTTATTAAAGACCACATATGTACTGACTCATATGGACATAGAACACCAAAGTCCAGAGACCCCTCCAAGGAAAAAAAAAATCTAGGCTCTGGGCAATATTCAAGAGGGATTTCTCTGTCTTTATGTGTTTTACATATTGTATATCTTTGCAAACATTTCAAAGGAGGAATTTAGGACTAAAAAAAAAGCATACGAACAAATAATGAAGTGGGAATAGTTAATGGGTGCAAAAATAGAGAGTTAAATAGAATGGATAATATTTGCTAGTATAGCAAAGTGACTATAAGCAACAATAAATTAGGATACGCTTTAAAATAACTAAAAGAGTGGAATTGGAATGTTCCTAACACAAAGAGATTATAAATGTCTGATGTGATAGATACCTCAATTACCCTGATTTGATTAATTCATATCGTATGCCTGTATCAAAACATCACATATACTCTATAAAGATATACAACTGTTATGTAAAAATAATAACTAAAATTTAAAAAAGATCAGCAGAGATGCAGACAAGGGAACAGAGAGTTCCAGTGGAATAGGGATGGGAAAGGAAGTTAGGCAAACTTCATGGAGGAGGTAACATTTGAATTATGTCTTGGAGGATAAATAGGTGTTTCCCGAAAGGTCGAATCGGGGATGGGGAAGATTCTAGGAGCTTATGGTAGTGCGGAAGTCTGAACCATGGTAAGTATGGGCAATAGCTGGCAATGGCTGGAGACAAGGCTGGAAAGATGGGATGGTATAGGGTGAAAACCTACCGTGGACTGGGGTCTTTTGCCGAGGATATAATGAGTAATATGATAAAATCAGAGACAGGGAATGCTATAAACCTCAGCACGGAAAGAAAACCATGAATTCTGACATTTTTGCAAAAAATAATTTATTTGTATTAGCCTAAGAAAAGTTAACAATGTTATCTTTATCTCTAGGTACTGCAAATTTGGAGGCTATTTTTAAGTTTTTTTTACATTACTATGAATATATATTGCTTGTAAAATAAAAAGGGTAAGTCATTAAAAGTTTGCAAACATTGTCATATTTGGCCCATAGTGGAATCTGATATGATAATTTGAAACATAGCCATGGCTTTGATATTTTTTCTACATGTGTTGTAACACATTGAAAGGCCCAGCCAGCCAATGGTTTGCTGTTATATTTACATTGGTTTTCTTTTACCTATTTTGTGCATGAAAAAAGATTAGCAGTGCACATCTTTGTACTCCTACAGAGGAAATAATTTGTAGCAATGTGTACTGAAAGTCTTGCCAAAGACAAAGACATTTTTCAATATTTATTTATTGAACAAATATCTATTGAATGTACAGGCACTATAATTATCCCTGAATACTGCTCGATGTGGTTCTACAGTACTAATGTGCCTGGCTATATTACATTATTGGAATCAC